ATGTCATTCTCCCAGGATTGGGGGAGCTTTGACCTCATTCATCGAAGCTTCTGGATTCTCATGGTACACTGGTAAATCCTCTCGTAGGTCGATCATGTCGGCATGGTCATTCCACAACACATTGTAGTGGAATAGGTAGCCATCCCCTTTTGGCACATCTTGAACGGGAGCTACATATAAAAGTGGATTCCTGCAATGCAACTCTCAAGCCCTTAGATTTAAAATTTTCTCTTTCTACTTCTTGTGCCTAGTGTGCAGTGGTTGGTTAGCAAGTATGTGAGGAGAACTCAACTCTAGGATGAAATTTGTGGCAAGTTACTTCACTCTCACTTGCACCTCCTCAGGAGAGACCTCCCCACGAAATGAACCTGGTCCTAGTGCAAAATTTTCATCCCATCAAGCTCTTCTTACCCACTACAAAGTTGGGGTTCATCTCTCCTGTCTGGAAATCTGACCAGGGTGTTCCATGCTAATCTGAAAGTAACCTCTGAATATTTCCATGTAATGCTCCCGACATGGCACACAATAACCTCATTTCTGACATGTTGAACCTCCGTTCGTGGAGGCAACCTATACATATGAAAAATTTGCATCTCGCTTATCCGAAGCTGACCTGTATATGATGTCGCTCCTCAAACTCACAACCCTTGTAGACATTCAAGGTCATTCCTGTTGATATTCCTCTCAATGTCTGCAAGATGCTAGCTCGAGGCAGTATAATCTTAGGTTTTGTTTGACTGTCTATTACCTCAAAGTTACTACATTCTAAAGAAGGGTCTGTAACTTCAACTAGAATCTCTATCTCGGGGTCAATTGGATTTGGTGGCATCTCTTCCTGGTTGGCTGAAAAATGAGAATCCTCTCTGAAATCTATATCGTCTTCTTGACCGTCATCATATCTTTCACTGGAAGCGGGTTATTCTAATTTATGTCCTCGCTCTCTTTAGTGATTGTGATATATTTATCCAACATTTCAATGACGCCCTGTTCGGTGAAGTAAATCACTCCTCTGGTTGTGCATTCTACCTCAACATGTCCAAATTCATGACACTTGCCACATTTTCTGGTTGTGACAGACTTGCAAGTTGTTTCGTTGGATAGTAGCCAGGGGGATCATTAAGTGATGTGATCTCTCCACTTCGGAAGTTAGAGTGTAATATTTTGCGGTATTTCTCGCTTCGTCTTCATAGCCAAAAATTAAGTTGGTGGAAAATAGTGTAGTATTTCCCGCTTCGTCTTCATATCTTCTCGTTTTTCTCTTCGACTCTCCCGATCACGATCGAGGACAAACTTTCATCGGATTTCATCATCAATGTCCACAACCCTTCACTGAAGTTCGCGGATCTCTAGTCGCATCTCCTCCCAGGTAGGCTCGGGCATGTACCTCCGTAGTGACATTGCTGAGGTTTAGGGTTGGGAGCTGAAAGATGGTGCATGAGACTAATTAAAAGTGTAGAAATTTTGATTTTGGATAATTTCGAAAATCAGCAAAGTGAATTTAAGGATTGGTTTTGGAATGGGTGGTTCCGGGTAGAAGGAAAAATTTTCTAATTGGGGGTAAGGCGGATGCTAGGGACCCTAGGATAGAACTAGGTTTGGGCTGGATTTGAAACCAAATGATGACGGAGGGCTTAAAGGGGTAGCAAGTTGGAGAGGGAGGGAGGGTGCTCGAAGCGGCTAGCTGAAGGAAATCTATGGTTGGAGGAGAAGAGGTCCACGGGTTGGCTGAGGTTGGATGGGCTTTGGATGTGGCAAACAACGGTAAACAAAAGAGGAGGGGATCACAGGAGATGTTGCAGTGAGAGGTAAGGCAGGGAGAGGGCTGCAGCAGGGGGGATCGATAGGGAGGGGTGGAGCTGGACATTAGAGAAGATAATCACTACCATGGAGAGAGATATAGTCGGAGCACCAACAGAACCATCAGATATAACCATCAAGGAGAAAATAGGAGGTCGACAGTTGTCCTAAAAACTTTGAAATCAGAAAACTCAACATAAACTGAAAACATAGACAACAAACACACGCATAAATAAGAGATAGATAGGCAAGAAACAAAAAAAAAAGGGGGGGGGGGGGGGGGGGGGGGGGTGCCCGCATAAAAGA